AACGCATTAAATTATTTGTTCAGGTATAAGGACTACATTGGATGCAAGTCAGCTGCCGTTCACCTATCCTCTCACACCCACCTCTGTGGAGGGAATCAGGCTCTTGACTCCTGTTGGTCCTTGTTCAAATGAGAGACACAATGAAAGGCAGAAATATTTATTTGCAATTTTCTGTGTAAAAATATTTAAAACGTCCACACACACACCCCCCAGTCCGGCTGTGGTGTATTGCAGCCCTCAACCTGTGTTGGCAACACAGGTATCCCTGCATGGTTGGGTGTGTTATCTCAAAATCTTCCAAAGGTTTTAGGCAACAGACCCACTCCAGAAAGCAAAACAGTAGGAGGAACTGTAGGAAGATCCCTCCCAAACTCAAGTTTTTGGTGATATGATGAAAAACAGATTACAAAATTGAAGTCAGTTTTTCTTCACTACAGCCAAAGCACTTTTTTTTTAACAAGAAGAAATAAATGAAATGTAATTTATTGTTTGCGCTTGGGATTGTTCTTTGTTCGTTTCTGGCACAGAGTGTGTATGTGCTAATGGAAAGAAGCAAAACATCAGCTCTCATGAGAATCCCCCAAATACCTCTATTTATATATGGGGAATCATTGTGCGGTGAAGCCACCCTGTCGAGCCGTTGCCAGGCGGCTGCAGCAATGGAAGGCAATTAAGGGCAGTAAAAGCAATTGGCAGCAGTGAGGAACACTGTTCATGGGTGTCTTTCTTACAGCAAACGGAAGTGAACTTCATATCAGTAGCGTTCGATATGAAGACACTGGTGCCTATACCTGCATTGCTAAAAATGAGGTGGGAGTGGATGAGGACATATCTTCGCTTTTCATAGAAGATTCGGCAAGAAAGACCCGTAAGCTTAATTTTCCATGTATTTATTTCTGTAAAGTGTATTTAAACGTAGTGGTGTACATGCAATTTAATAGTTCAGTCCACTGCATGCGGTACAGGGGACTCTTACTCGTAAGGTAACGACAATTTTGTCCGCACTTTGATCAGAGGATTGGCTACTGTTTTGGGAAGGAACCGCGTGAGGAAGGTAAAATCTCCTTGTCCACAACGATGATGCTCTTCATGTGCCAGAAGTGTACTGGGTGTGGTATGGGTAACATCTGTCCTAAAGTAACAAATTGGCAATAGTTTTAGATGTAGAAGAATCCAAAACCTGACGGTTTGTCGAATTATATGCAGTTTCAGAAAATAAATTTCACTGATTTCTGTACAAGACTTCTTCTTTTAAAGCCAGTTACGAGTCAAAGTTCTCCGATATTTTGATGCTTGAAAATTGTTCTGATTGAATTATTTTACCTGTGTTTACATCACTAACTAGCGAAATAGGTTTTCCTTGGTGTGAAATTATCTTCCACTTCAAAGACAAATATTCTCCCAGCCACTCATGTCTCCCGTAGGAGTGTGGCAGTGTTATCTTGACCGCGCTGTCCCCGAAACACCATTAATGAAGGAGGTGATTACTTGCCCCAGTGGAAAAGCTCCCAGAGGCCTGATCCTTCCTAATTCTGCTGTCTTAACTACTTGGGAGATCGCCTGGGTTCATGGCGATACTAAAAGGCTAGGTGCAAATGGGATTTCTGCTACTTTTCTGGCTGTTAATATAGAGCAAGAATTGAAAATGAAGTTAGCCATAAATATGCGCTCTCGTGGCGATTCTTTGGAAAATGTATTCTATTCCTCATTAAACAGATTTATGTACTCTTGTTAATATTGGTCGTTTTCCCTTGAATAGTTGAGCAAGGGAAATTACAGTATGTTGAGAAATAATTGGATGTAACTTAAACAGAAATTCAAATGCAGGTGTACTTTCAAAGAGTATTTGAATCCTAAGAGAGAATGTAGTTGCATGAAATTCCAAGAAGAAATGCAGCAAAGTGTGTAGCTGCTGTAACTGCCAGTCTCAGGCTTCTGAAAGATGTCATGTTTGCTTATTGAACCTGTACGGAAAATCACAGCCTGTACCATACCTCCAATTACATCTGAAGGTAACATCTTCTCTTTAGTAAGACTTTGATCTTTGCACAGGCTAAAGTTGGCTTCATTTCAGTGAGGATTTTTCCCATGTCAAAGTTTCAGAATTGTCTCTAGAAGGAGCAAATGTATTTAGAAATATCTATCTTTCCTGATATTTTACTTGAATGAATGTTACAGAGTTTTCACAAATTAAACAGTTCATGTAAACATGAGTATTAATTCAGTTACTTGCTACAATGAAAATTTTGACATTGTTTTGTTGTTTTTTTTCTTTTCCTGATTATTTTCTGGCTTTCCCAATTTTCTGATGCTGCAGTTGCAAACATACTGTGGCGAGAGGAAGGTACTGCAGTAAAGTTTTTTTGTCGTAGTGATAATGTGCTTGTCTGCTTTAATAATTCCATGATGGGCCATTCTCCACTGACTTGCCACTAACTCTATCAACTTTCACAGTTACCAGATTAAGTACAGACCAGACATTTAAAAGCTAAACTATTCAATTAAGAGATGTCACTCTCGTAATACAAATCGTACCTATAACTTCTTACATTTTCCCACTATGAAATAATGGATGACCATAAAATATAAAAAAACGTGAGTTTTATATAAACTGCCGCCAATGTGAATAGCCTGACATTCTCAAGCTGCATTAACAATTGCACAAGTGTCAGAAGTGCTCCCAAATTACCACAATTGAACAAGACAGACATAAATTCAATACACAGCCTTTTTAAGCAAGTAATTCAAGCTCTTCCTCCTCAGTAGCACATATTGATGTTTACTAGGTGAGCAACAAAAATTGTGTTCTTGACTGTTAGGCAAAAAAAAACCCCACAACAGGTTTTGATTCCCTCTATCCTTTAAATCAATGCAGGGTAAAGGTTGCCCCATTTCTCCTTGTTTTAATTGGCAGTTAAGGTCTCTAGTTTGATCAAATATATAGTGTGACCTGCACAAGGTCAGTATCTGTGTATCTTGGAAGCCAAATTAGAAGAAAACCCATCCTAAACGGCTAATTGACTCAAAGATATTATGGAGGCACTTGAAATGAAAATTTATTTGATTTTGTGTGTGCTTGTGCTGTCGTAATTTCCAAAATGCACAGTAAGACGCATCATGCAAAGACCCAAGGAGCTCTCAAGCAGCTTGCCCATCTGCCTCTGTAGGTACGGTGCCCAGGTGCCTGGACAGGGAGCCTCCCGGCTTCAGGCTCCTGGGGGCTGTGAGCAGGGTATCCGCTCACTGGAGGAAGGCTCTTGGGTCGAAGTCCAGGCATAAGCCAGTTCTTACATCTGCCAGTTGCATATGAAGAAGCTGAGACAAGTCCTTCCAGCCTTGTGGGGAAGCTCTCTGTGCACATCCAAACTGCTCTCAACCGCGTCCCCCTGCCCGCTGCAAACACCTCTCCCTCCCGTTGTTCCTCCAGCGAGGGCTGCACCCTCACTCTGCCTTTAGAGGGTGCAAAGACCCTTTCATAAGTAGTGCCTCCAGGTACCCAAAGTGACAGTCGTGCTTCATGCCCTTGGCTTGGAGCTTTCTGGTTTGCTGTGGCTTGGCCCAGAGGATTTTAGGGGCAGAAGGAAAGTGCCAGCCCTTAGTGACCGGTGCTACCTCGGCTACATATGCAGATGCCCGATGCATACCTGCTGTCCCGCTGTTGGCTGCAGATGCGTACACGCAGCAGACGCAGCTGACTGGAGGTCATGAGATGTGGCACAGCCACCTAAGACACAGCTCTTCAGCACTTACTCCCCAATAC